CCCCCCCTAATTAATTAAACTTCTATATAATAAAATCTATTAATTAAAAAAATTAAAAAACTATCGGAAGTCGTTTTTGACATCAGAAAGCAGCTTTAAATAAGTTTACCGAAGGAAAATCGGTGCACTACAACTTTAGAATGATTAATTAATTTTGATAAAAATCTCCCATTAAAAAAACATTAAGCCTTAATCGAGCCTTATCAAAGGCTCATTAAAATCGCGATAAAATTTTTTTGCGCGCGCAAAAAATTCTGAAAAAATTTGGGGACCTAAAAAACATTCCAAAAATTAAAAAAAAAATAATTTTTTCAAAAGTGGCCTTAACGATCGATTTTTACGTAACGCTATAAAACTTGCTCGAGTCACACTTGAGCGCAGCTCAGAAGGGGTTAAATACTGTGCATTTTCGAAAATTTTACAATTTCATTGGTTAAAATTCTATACTGTGTTGCATGTTTGATGACGACCTCTTCTCGAGGGAAGAGACCATTATTCACATCGAGTGAATAGACCGAGAGGAACTGGTGGTAATTGAGCATTTATCTGGCTCTGTTCAGCCATTTCCGACACGTTGACCACCCCTTCCGCGCTCACATTTATACCTGTATCGGTTACCATTTCTACGTCACCCGCGGCCCCCCTCCCGTCTAGCCCGACTAGTTGTCGGCAACACCCAAGGCTGTTCTGGCACTGGGTCGTGACTTCTCAACGCGTACCCATGCGATGCTCGAGCAACACTCGCCTGAGGGTCGGACTCTTCGGGAGTTGCTTCCCCCACCTGATCCTGGGTAATCGAGGTGAGAATTAGCTCGTCCCATGGATCTACAGGCTCCGCTGAATGCGGTCGACTACCTGTTGGCGACTCATCTTGATCATCGGCGCGGGGATTTGCATCCCTCAGCACCGCTTCCGAGGTTTCCAACCATACCACTGCCGGTTTTAACTGATTCGCATGCACATGCAACTTCTTTCCAGTGTGTACGTGCTGTACCTCAAAATTGACCGGACTTGTTACTGCAACGATTCTAAAGGGGCCGGACCAACGCGGTGCTAGTTTGCGCTTCAATCCGGGGGCAATTACTGCCTCTTTCACAAATACTCTATCCCCCACTGTAAACTGATACGGTTTATTTTTCTGCTGGTGATACCGTTTTTGATCACCCGCGGCTTTCTCTGCATGCTCTTGAGCTAATCGATACGCGGTGGCCAGTCTTAGCCTTAACTCACTCGCGTAATTTTCATCGCTATCATAGAGTGGTTTATTTGGTGTGGTCACTACATCGAAAGGATATACCGGATCTCTTTGATATAGCAAGAAAAAAGGTACGTCATCGGTACTGGCATGTACCGTTGTATTATACGCGAAAAGAGCGTACGGGATCATCTCATCCCAGTTCCGCTGGTCCCGATCGACACACAGGTCGATCGGGACCAGCGGAACTGGGACGAGATGATCCCGTACGCTCTTTTCGCGTATAACACAACGGTACATGCCAGTACCGATGACGTACCCTTTTTCTCGAAATGGGGGGCCAACCCACCTTCTTGGGGAGACGACGGATGACACAGCCCAAGCCAACCTGGACGAGGGGACATTTGATGAGGTGCCTAGAGGAAACCTTCCGGAGGGATTTGGTGTCGGAGAGGGGGCCCTGACGGGGATAAACCTCTCCGCTGTTATTGAGCGGGCCGAGATGAGCCGGACAATGGGAGTTCCAACGGATGTGCTCAGCCCCGGGAATTAGCGCTTGAACCCTGATCGTTTAACGGACGGACTGGCGGCATTACAGCCGAAATTAAGCATCGTTTTTACAAAAGGGGGAGCCCTGTGAGGCTGGGACCACACACTCCCCCTGGGACGGAAACCGGCTGTCGAGCTAAAGTCAATATATCGGTGACTTATAACCCCCCTAACGAAGTCTCTGCCCGACTGTCGCGGCGGGAGTGAATTCGGTGCCCAACAGTCTGCGGAATAAATGAATCGGTAGACCTACTTCACGGCTGTCGGCGAGTCAAACGGAAGTGACGAGGATCTTTTTCGGACAAAAAGGATTTGATTCATTGGATCGAGCTTTGCATTTATTATTATGTAATTTCCCCGTTTTTATTTTTCCTATTTCCTGTTATCTGTAAAAATAAAATTTATTATGGTCATTATGTTCGCGTTTTTCTCTTTTTGTCCGAAAAAGATCCTCGTCACTTCCGTTTGACTTGCCGACGGCCGCGAAGTAGGTCTACCGATTCATTTATTCCGCAGACCATTGGGCACCGAATTCACTCCCGCCGTGACGGTCGGGAGGAGACTTCGTTAGGAGGGTTATAAGTCACCGATATATTGACTTTAGCTCGACAGCCGGTTTCCGTCCCAGGGGGAGTGTGTGGTCCCGGCCTCACACATGTGCAGATAACCTGAATAATCAACCTAGTACGGTAGAATTATGATGTCAACAACAAAGACGAGATCATTAAAATTGACCAGAATCACCACTGTCTGTGAGAAACTAATTTTATCTCTTGTTTTGATGCCATTTGTCTCTGAAAGAAGAGACAAGAGATTAATGACCAGAATACACCCCTGTTTATTTGACTTACTTTCTAGACTCGCTTATCAGCAGGTTTAGATGGCATTTTAATTTGAGTGGAAGTCACCATATTGATCTGTTTGTTGCAAAGTTTTTATGTAAATGGATATCATTCATTTGATAAATGTTATTAATGGAATGAATCAACAAGATTATTCTTCTCAACAATTATGAACAGAGAAGAGTAATACCAGATCAGAATAATCCATTACAAATCTATTCCAAAGATGAATTCCTAATTGTGTATAAATTTTATAACTCTGGATTTGTTCATGTTTTCAATCTTATTGGGAAAAAGTTTGTTGTTAATTGCCGAACAACAGTTGTTTACAGTCATAAGGTTTTATGATACTGGAAATTTTCAGAGGATAGCTGGTGACCTTATCAAAGTTTTTTTTTTTTTGACGTCACAAATGCATAATCTGATTGGTTGAACAACTAAAAGAGAGGAGTAACAGTGAAGAAAGTAATAGTCAATGTTTTGTCAAGGTTTGTTTAGATGGCATTCAGAAATAGATGATTGTCGTCTTTGCAATGTATTTTCAACCACAGTGCAGCAAGCTATCTAGATGCTGTTTGACTGTTAATCTTTGTTTAATGTAAACTCTGTCTTTGCAATCAGCTGACAAAGTTTGGACCTAATGGGTTTAATAAAACCATTAGTAACTTTTATTTTACAATTAATCACAAACTAGAATCACTTACTCAATTTGAAGATTTAGGAATCATATTCAAATTAAAATTGACTTTTGTCTTACACACAAATAAAACAATCATCATTTTATATGAAGAGAAATAACCTGGAAGAATTTAAAAATTTTCTTCAAAGTGGTACTTTACTCCATTTTACCAGCATTCAATCTATACTTGATTATGGTGTAATAGTCTGGTCATCCATCAAATTTACATAAGGAATTGTCCAAAAATTTATATTTCATTAAATAAAGTTTTTAACTCTACCTGTAACTGAATTCTCCAATGTTGCACAAATTCATCTGGTCTGCTCAAATTATCCAAAAGATTAGATTTTGATCAAACCTATACCTATAAATATTTAAATAGGATTGTAGAAAACTATTAAATCTATCTCAAAGTATCCATTATTGTCACTAGAAAATTTTTGTGTTTACATACTATTTTAGGTAGATTAAATGTTACTATTAATTTTATAGAATACAAAAAGCCTCAGCACAAATGGAGGATTTCTTGCATTTAGATTATAGAAAATACAAATTATACTGACAAAAATGTCTTTATAACAACAAATACATTTTTTAATGTTTTTCTGTTTGTACTATTTTAGGTATTTTATTTTTAGCTATCTTTTATAATCTCTGCTTTGGTTTTTATCTAGACTAGTACAAGTCAGCTTAGTTCAACACCAGAGCGACAGCCACAAAATCAACAGCATACACTTTATGGACAGCCACAGGTAACATCTTCAACACATCCCTCTCCAATGATTCCAGGCCATTTGAGAAATATATTACAAGCAGCACCTTTATCAACACAGTTCAGTCGATCAAATGTTTCTAATGTTGGACAGTCTCTTACGCCTGTTACAACTCAGACATCTTTCTCCAATCCAACTTCAACTGTACAAAAACAACTTCAAAGTAGTGTTCGTCAACCTGTTCAACAGTCTCCAGTATATCAACCTGTGACTTTACCTAGAAATCCAAATATAACAATATCACCAGTCACTATGTCACCAAATAAACAAAAGTAAGTTATATGTAAAATTATAAAGAATTTTCTCTCATTCTTCATATATAATGCAACTGAATTCATTTATTTAAAAAAGTGGAGAGTAAGAAAACTTCACTTTTTTTTCCCAAATCTCATTATTCATGGTTTTAGTAAAAACAAATTACATATTTATTGAAGATAAAAATTTGATTATACATTGATTATGCAATAATAATTGATATTTTAACATTTTTATTTTTGACTAAATATTTGATATATTGGATTAATTGTAATACAGTCGCCCCCCCTATAATGTGCATTCCTATAATGGAAATTCCTATAACGTAGCGAAAAAATTGTAGCAACATAGGTATAAAGGACCTCCTAAAACATCGTCGCCAACTCGTTTCGCAACAAGATTGATAGAATCTGGACCAATAGTGGATGAGCAGCCGAACTACTTTCCTCCGCCCTGCGCCACGCTACGGAGCAGCTAATTGCTAAATTACGGAGCAGTTTGCTATCATCTGTACAGTATTATATATAAATTAGGTACTGTACATATAATTATATATAAATTAGGTACTGTATATATAATTATATATTAACTTATTGTAACTTTGTTATAATTAAATATATAATTTCCGCCGTCTAGCGAGGCGCCACGCTATGGAGATTTTAGGCAATAAGTTGAGTTTATTATCATCTGTACAGTATGTAAATTAGGTACCGTAAGTCTAATACAGCACTAATTTTATACATTTCTTGTGAAAGAAACACTTCTTATTCAACGGCCATAAAAATTATTTATATTAATGATGTCTCCAAAGGTCAAGTTATTTTTATGCGAAAAATTCGTTATTAGAAATCGCGGCCGCCGTTTAATGTGCTGTTCCGCGATGAAAACCAGCTTTGAGCAACGGCGTAGTCGAACGGTACACACTCGGTAAGTAATCCTATAATTTTTTGTTTATAGCATAGTTTATACAGATTATTCCCAAAAAATTATACGTGTTTTGGAAATGTTGAGTGGAATTAGTCTAGAATCGGTTAATTTTATAGAAGAAAACCTTTCAAACAGCCTTAGTCCGTAAAGTTCACACCTATTGGGCTGCGATTGGCTCATGTATTTAATCATTCGTACAACATAAAATTCGATTAGCATGGAACATATCTAAGCGTTATAGGGGGATCTACTGTATTAACTTCTGATTATAGAAACTGCTATATATTCAAATACTATTTGCACAAAGTTTTTATTTATAAATAAAAAATTAAATTTTAATTTGATAAGATAATACAGTAAATTACAAATGTACAGGATTTATCATTTAAAATAGAATATTTAAATATTTTCAAAAACTATAAAAGAATATAAAAGAATTAGTTTTTTATTCTGTACACTAAATTGGATCATTAAATTTGAATACATAATATAGGGGTGCACAACCTGCGGCCTACAGGCCACACAGCTTCTTTCAATGTTTATGTGGCCCATGGACTGTACAGGCCAAATCCCTTCTTTTGAAGTTTCTAAGTGTAGAACTTTCTCCCTTTCACAAAGTCATTAGCACCCAACTGTTTTATGACTTTCCCTGAGGTGAGAAAGGGGGGTTGTTTTATAATAAGTTCTATTTCTAACTAACACTTTCTGGTTTAGATATGGAATATTTTAAGTCTAATACATAGTATTATAATGATTTTTTGAAGAATCGAATAGAATAAAATGATGCTAGAATGTCATTTTCGATGTTATCAGGAAGTTTCTATTTTGGCAGGAAATTTTCAATTTTATGCTTTGGAAAACTTGCTTATTCGTCTAAATAGCATCAAATAACAAAAATAAGTGAAAATAGTGCTGAAAAACCATGAAAATAATGATTTTTTAGCATTTGTTTACATTCTAGATTTGATTGGTATAGTTGAATTTGAATCAATCTTTTCTGAAAAGACATTTATTTGTCAACCTAATGTCATTCAAACTAGAAAAAACTAACTGAGTTCAAAAAGGAATGTACAAAAACTATAACAACCAATAATTTACAACAATATCTTTCCATAGACAAAGAATAGAAAGAAATTTTTTTGCATCAAGTTTATTATTATTAAGTTGGACCAAGAAAATTAATACTGTAGTTGGAATAGAGTCATACGACTAAAAGGAAGCCATTTGCACTAAATATTTTGGATTTAATAATTATTGCAAACTGCATCAAACCATAACCTTGTCAACAAAGAAGGTTGTAAAATGATTCCGTTAGCTAGAAAGCTGCGGTTTCTTTTGTTTGAAAGAAAACTGATATATTTTCCATTATACCTAAATATAATGCCCAGATATTTATATTGCAAAACTACTTGTATTACATTTTTCCTAAATCACCATTTATCAAACTTAACAGGTTTACCTCCATTACGGAAAACAACAATTTTAGATTGTATAAGATTCAAACTCATGTTATTTTCTAATAAATATTTATCTAAAATATTAATAAATTCATGTAAACCCCTAACAGAGTCAGCAATCAAAACTATATCATCTGCATGTGCTAATATTTGAACACTAGTGCCATTCACATCAATACCTTCATAATCAGAATTATTTATCTGTTCAATTAAATTATTTAAATATAACTAAACAAAACAGGACTCAAAACTGTAACACCTATAGCAGTAAAAAAAAAAGGCCTAGAACAAAGACTGCTCCATTTAATTCTAACATTAGATTCTTTATATAATTCTGTAAGCAAAGAAAAATTTAAAACTCAAATCATATTTTAAGAGTTTTTTTCCACATTAAGTTCCTATCTATGGTATCAAAAGCTGAAGACAAATCAACAAAGAACGCATATATTTTATGCCTTTTTGTCATTAGCATCTTAGTAATAAGAGTATGAAAAATAAAAATATCTATCGTAAAATATTATTTTCGAAACCAGCCTGATTCTCAAATAAAGTTTAATTTAAATTTAACCAAGTTACCAATCTATGATACAATATACTACAAAAAAATCTTTGAGACACAATTTAGCAGAGAAATTCCTCTATAATTACTTGGAATCGATTTAGAGCCATTTTTGTATACTGGGCATAAAATAGCACTTCCCCAATCCCTTGGCACTTCTCCAGATCTCAAGATTCTAACAAAACTTTTAAGCAATATTGGGAAAACGGAATTCTCTTCCAAAATTCCAAAGGGATACCATCAACCCCAGGCACAGAGCCAACTTTAACTTTACTTAAAATGTAACTCAAATTCCGTAATGTCTACATCCAAAATTTCATCAGACCAAGTTAAATACTCATTGAAAACTGACAAATCTACAGTATAAGGAAGTAAAGAACCATATAAAAAATAAAAATGTGTAAACCACTCCTCCAAAGAGATATTCACACTATTCATATAATTTCCAATTTTACACAAATTCCAAAACCATTTATTATTTTTATGGAAAATACTCGAATATTGAACCGTATACAAAAACTTTTTTTCTTGGCTCAGCAAATTTTAACCAAACTACAAAATAAAATATTTTATGATGCAATTCTAATCCACTTTTCTTAAAAGCTCGCCAAGCTCTATTTCTATTTCTGATCATAAAACGACAATCTAAATCAAACCAATTATTAATATTGATGTAATCCTTTAGCTAATTGCTATAATATGAATTTTGAACTATCTCAACAATTAACTTATTTACATGTGATAAAGAAACACTCCCCAACAAATGTTTCTCAAAATCAGACATAAATCTCTTCATGATCTCACAATTCCAAAAAATTCTTTCATAAAAACTGCCCTTATTGTTCACCTGAGATTGTAATGGATTGTCCAAACATAATACCAAAGGAAAATGATCTGACAAACAACAATCATCAGCAAAAAAAGATTTAACACATCCCAAACACAAGGAGTTATTAACCTATTCGATGTTGAAATTTTTATTTGTTGCCTGGATGCCATGTTGAATTTTCGTTGATGTTAAGCCCAAAAAAAATTTTTTAAATAATAATTGCGTTTACTGTATCATTAAAAATGATTTTTTTGTTTCACAAACAAAATAAATATATTGAATAATATAGAAACAAAAAAAGTTATATTTTAAAAGTTTGTTTTAATATAAAAATTGTGCCGCATAGTGACATCTAGTATCAAAAACGTTCCGATGTAAACATGAAAATATTCGGGATTGCCCACGCAGGTCAATGTAGGATAGGTTAAACCAAAATCAATAACTGAAGAACCCAAACTAGAAACAAATGTATATTTGCCAGCTTCATTGCCTGACATTCTACCATTTAATATTATTAAATTTTTATCTACACAGTATTGAAGCATCTTTTGACCTCTGCTATTCATGATAGCGTCCTTAGATATCCTGCTTCTTTTAGCGAGATCAACACCAAAAGCATCACCGATATAGTCAGGAATAACATTTCCTTCACCCACCCGAGCATTAAAATTACCAGGAATAATTAAATTAGAATCTTCATTAAAGTGAAAATTCATTAAAATCTCAAAAATTTCCTGCCAACTATGCTCATGCATATAAACAAAACATATCAAAAATTTACCCACAGGAAATATAATGTTAATCAAAAAATCATCTCTATAAATTACTTTATAACAAAAACTAACTTTTATAAATAACAACCATCCAACCTTAAATCTACCCCTATTACCATCTCTGAAAGCATCACCAATAATACAATTATAATCTGATAAAANCTTTATGAAGGCATAGAGCCTTTACTACATGAAAATGAAAATTAATGAATACACTGTGTACAGTAATTTACCTGACAAGACAGACCTCAGAAAAATACTTTATGAGGCATAAAGCTGTCTATGATGAAAATTAATTATCTAAGGGCATTTTTGCCCTCCCAAGGTGTGGCCGAGTTATCCGGAGTGCCGGGTTATCGAGTGCTGAGTTTGAGGCTCTACTGTATTATAAATTGTATTTTATTAAGTAGCTATTTTATTTAATATTTCAAATATTTATAACTATTTAGATTCAAGTTTTTTAATAATTTTTAACA